CTCAGCAAGACAACAATTAGCTCCTATTCGCTAAGCCCAAATGCTTTACCTACATGTACACTCCTCGCAATCGCTCACTACCGATATAATAGATACGAAGACCGAGTTTCACAGAGTGCATACAACATGTGCAGTAGTATTGGTACTATTGGGGACCCGGGTGGTGAACGCGGGGGGGGGGGGGGGGGGTTCGCAGTTCGGAGCTTCGCCAATACGAACTATCTTGTATTTAAAACGTTAAGATAGTTCGTATTCTAAAAAAACATTTATTCGGAAAACGCAGATAAAGATGCTTGACAACATCGTCGGATAGAAGTGTTTGGCTATTAGCCAAGTATTACCGCTTGCAAATACTTTGCCCTCTAAAATAGACCTCTAAAATAGACCACGCCTGTCTCTTAATATGAGTGGACACGAGATAGGCGAGGGCTGATTTAGCTTTATGCTTTGCTGGGGGCCGCTTTTAGGCCCAGAAACTCGGTTTGGCCCGTCTAGAATGGCATTTCTGCGTTTCCAAGTCGTAGAAAAGCGCCTTGGTCGAGAAAACAGAGCCCCAAGCTCGGATCTTAGACCGTACTGGCGAGATATATAAATCAGACCTAGGTCTTAATTAAGAGCTGGCTGGATTAAAATCGAGATTATTAACGAGATAATAAGCATGCGTTGGCCAAAATATCTGCAAACGGCAATACTTCTAGTACAATAAACAGCAGATGTGCCGCATTCCCGTTACTATTGTCACAATTGTACTATTCACAGGCATTTCCTCTGCCTGCCGGATGAGATGCCGTGTAAATACTAGATACTGGAAGACTACTTTAGTTTACCGTCTGCAATTAACCGGTATTGTAGATGAGGATGCATGTCGATCAGGCTACCTAGGTGTCATCGTGCCGAGCAGCCAAACGACAGATTTATAGCGCTACTTGCTGGATAGCGAATTTTACACTTTGAACGCCGCATCTGCATTCAAACTCGCGAGTCGAAGAATACATACTTGTCAGGTGCTTTGCGTTTGTATATGGCAAGCTCACGATTAGAATAAACAAAACCACTTCATTTGGTGGAGCGGCATGGACGGATAACCGCTGCAAAACCAAATCAAACCTCGAGACGCATTCAGCGTTTTTGAAATCGTATAGGTGCAGCTCCTGTCGAAACCGAGCCTTAGTGGCATCAAATAAAAATATGCGGTTCGAGATGACAACACCTTAATTAAAACACCCAAGCCCAGGGCTCGGTAAATTTCAATATCCGTAACAATAACTCGCAGTAACTTACGGGAATAACTTACTGATACCCCGTCACCAATTTCGTGCAATAAGAAATAGGAAGTCTGGCGCAGAAATCTATACAATTTGTGCTTGGTATGATCACTTCCCCATGAATTCGACGGCAATTGGTGTGCAAGAGGAGGTTAAAAACACGAATAAGTATATAATAGTAAGAACCGTTGCTACTTACTTTTGCTGTGAAAATCTTACAGAAATCGAGCTCAATTGTAATAGAATGCTTATACTAAAAGCAAAATTTCGAACCTTGTGAGGTTTGTATCTGAATTACAGGTGCATGAGATCTAAGGCATGCTTTGGTAAGCGTAGGATATGATGTACGATGATGGGAAACCGAAGTAAACTATCCACATGAATTAGACACTTTTGTTCTTCTCGCCTTTATGGTTAACTCTTTTTAACTCTACACTTGAGTTGTGGCTACATTAGTGAGGAGAAATAAGAAAATAACCCAATTGTACTGGGATAGGAAACAACGTTAGTGCTGCTATCGCAGACCAAATCGGATTATATCGTGGTACGTCAAGTCAAACGACCTCTTGACATCTAACTGGTACATTTTCTAGCAACCGGTTTGACTCCGGTGCCGCACTGGGCCCTCCAAAAGGTTTATATGCGTGGGCACTTCGAACCGGTGTGCTACCGACGACACTGGTATGAATCCATACATATATTGACGAATTGAAGTAACGGGAACGATTGAAGTGGACTACTAGAGGTAAGCATTTGCATTTTCTATAAGCTACAAACAGATCTCAACCAAGGTTCACATTTTTTATTTTGTAAATCATTGCCGGTTGATATCTTGCTTCTACAGATTTAAGGCAAATTTTCGGGCAGATGCTGCGGCTGCGAAGCCGGCTGCGAAGCAGGCGCAGGAGATGACCGCAGCTAATAAGAAAAAGAATCAATAAAAAGAAAAAAAAAAAGAAAAAAGGGGTTTATACCAAGGTCCTCCTACCCCAGCCTACGCGGAGCCCTAGTTAATTGGGGAAGGTTGGAGAGTCCAATCAATATCATATTGTATTTTGCTTAGCCCTGCCCAAGCCAGCTGCCCAACTGGAGAAGTAAGCCGCAGGTGACTATGAGGCCGGAATTTGCAAACATATCAGCTGCACAAGAGTACTAGCTGCAACAAATTGGCTTGAGTAGCTTGCACAGGATTCATACGGATGTCAAAGCTCAACATGCTGATTTGTATGGATTATAAGATTTAAAGTGGAATCGTCATAATGGGTGCATCCTGAAATCACAAATTGGTCTCGTAGCAAAAGTGAAAGAAAACGAGCAGTGGAGTAAATTTGTGACGTAAAGTGAGGTTGTCAAAAGGGGTTGCCAAAAGGGGTGACCATCCTGTACAAAACCCCATATGATACCCTCAAGTAGCAACAAAATAATGGTACTTTCAGTACTATTTTTCTCCGTAGAGGCAGCAACGTCGAGTATAATCACGTAGTAAATGTATCATAACCTGGACAAATGTGCGTCACAAATCTAAAATGTGATTTCAGGATGCACCCAATTTCGGCATTAATGGGAACATAGAAGTTGTTAAAATATTAAAGTATTGGACGCCGCCCAAAACCACCCTATCGGCTTATATGTCAAGGCCTGCGAGAGTTGATAGACCTAACATAACACCACTTCACATCTGGTGAGACCTAAATGTGGTCTCAATACACTCGGCGGTACTTCAAGGTATGCGGCCTCTGATTTGGCAACTTTAGTAGTTTTAGCTTTGTTTTTGTATGAGCTCATACAGAAGGTACCACCTCTGCTCTTAACAAGCAACCTTCTTTAAATTCTGGTATATATCACGAACCCTTGACATACAGTACTGAGAACGAGACGCCTGATATATCCGGATTTAAAAGGGAATCATATGTGGCAGACATCACTTTATGTGTTTTACATTGACCCTAATACCTAATCACATCGGTAAAATCGGGTATTAGTTGTTACCCGTCTCGTTCTCACGCTCTAGTCTGTACTACGTATCCATAGTAGTTGATTGGACGCTGTAGTCGTCAACCGACATGACCAAAACTGAGCTCAACGCTAGGCGTGAGTTGCCAACTATACGGTACTACGACGAACAAGGTGTCACGGACTGCGTTTCTGCATTCTTTCGACCATCAAATGTTTGTGTTTCGATGAAGCTCCATTCTTCGGGTGGCATACGCGGGCACCTGACAGCAATCTGGCCCTCGAGCGCAAAAGGACATTCTACTACAATACGACGTATTTGTATCATTTGCTAGTGGCAGAAGGCTCTCCTTGACTAGTTAATGGACATATGACGGAAGCTGTGGCAGCGATAGATAGAAAACAACGTTTGCATGAGAACCATAGTTTCTCACTCCATCGTAGTTAGTAAAGACGGCACTGTACCTAAGCGTTGATGATGAAGAACCGGCTGTTCTCGTGCGCGGAAACTCGACGTGCTGGGAGATCAGATCCAACTTGCTGTCGGTCCGAATGCCGTTTTGCTAGCTATGGTAATGCTGCGAATGTGAAGACAAGACGACCATAATCGCGAAGTTCTGTACACTGCATAGTAAATATCAACATTGCGTGTCCCCGTCACAAATGCACAGCGTTGGTGTAGTGCTACATAATACAACCAGATCTTACACTGTTTAACGTGGGTAGCTGCATCCATACACAACGAGCGTTCTGCACCGAGCACCGCCAAGCTGCCCATACAGGAGCGACCGCTGTTTTGTGTGTTATACACAACGATGTGCCGCACCTTAAAAACGCTTTAGATTTTAGAAGCCTGCCGGTAAAGTTCAATTGAAGTTGAAGATAACATACAAAACTCATACTAAACTCAAGTGACTCAAACTTTCCGCAGCTTCAAGTTGAGTTACAGTAGCGCGTCTCGAGTCCTCTTTCGAGGCCCCAGTTAGATGTCAAGAGGGGTCCACGTTTGACTCTCGCTTTGAAGCCATTTACTTTTGCATATTTTTTCAGCAAGGCACGGTACTATCCTGGCTTAGGTTAATGGCTAATTGAAGCTATTATGGATCGCTCTATAGAAATGTATTTTTACGAGATGCTGCGGTAGGGACACTCGCACCCACCTCACTCGTTAAAAGTACACAGATCACTCGTTTAAGTGGCCCTTTCGGCCAATGAGATCGTACTCGTAAATATGGTCTCCGCTGAGGTGTCGGCTAGGAAGAGAAAGTGAGTGGCTTTCATTATGGCCCTCGAGCTTCAATTGCCTGGGCTGTACTGGTACAGCCCAGGCATTTAAAAACGATTTAGAAACATGGTGTTTCGTACACCGCCGATGATGAGCAGCCAGCAGAGGCAGCAAGCAAGCGGGTCTTGCGTTTAGCAGAAGAGGAAAGTAGCTTTCACATTGAGTAGCACAAACAGAGCAGTAGAAAGAGGTGATCAATGCTGAGTATTTGTGGAGCAGAGGACAACATAGCAGAAAATGTGCGCATGGAATTGCTGCGATCGCGTGATGCAATTGCTACGGAGCCAAGCCAAAAAGAGCAACGCAGGTTTGAAGTATCATGCGAGCAGAAGGCTAGAGACCTCGTGCGCGAAGAGCCTCGAAGAGACTCGAGCAGCGCTACTGTTACGATTTTGTTTGCGCCGTCTCACAAATTTTGTGGTCCTGGCCAGCACCGATCAGACCCAAACTTCCCCCGCCGCCATCAAGCAGCAGCTTCCTCCACTATCCCTACCAGCATGCCCGTCATGTTCGATTCCCCGGACAGTCTGCTCGATATCGAACTCGAGATTGTGTCGGCCAAGGTGCGTGTGGTCACGAGCGTATCTCTGCACTTCTGCTCCCCATTCTAACGACTGCATTCGTTCTCCAGGGCATCGACACCGGTGACTACCTCGGCCTCAAGACCGCTCTCAAGGGCGAGTTCTCGTCGAGGGACGCGTACGTTTACATTGAGATCGACGGCCAGAAAGTGGCCTGGACGCGGCCGATCTTCGACACGCTCAAGCCTGAGTGGAACGAGAAGTTCGTCTTCAAGAATGTCCAGCACTCGTTGGTGTTCAAGCTTTCGCTGTTCGACAAGGATGTGGACGCCGACGACGAGTTGGGCGAGGCGCAGTTCATTGCCGACACCGCTATGTATGCCACGGAGACTGCGTTCGACCTGCCGATCACCATGGCCGGTAGAAACGCCGGCACACTTAGTATCAAGGTGAATTCGCACCCTGTGAGCGTTGACGAAGACGCCGAGCTGCAAGAGGTCGGACCTGTGCGCTACTCTGTGCACTCGAGCTTTTCGGCCGGGCTTCTGTCCATGCTAACGTCCAACGACGACCGACTCGAGTCCGGGCCTACCGCGTCCAGCTACACAACATCCCGCAATTCTTGTCGAGAGACCACGAGTAGAACAAGAACTACCCAACGATCCAGCGGATCTTCTCGCCCGACCACCCGGAGTCGCCTGTGTTTCGTCAAGCAGTCATGACGCAGCACGCCGTGATTTACTCGCACGGCGCGAACGACCAGGGATCGGACAATATATATTGGATATTGATTGTCGGCGAGGCAGTCATCACAATCAATATCCCCAATATATTGCCATACTTGCCTTTAGTATGCCGATATATTGTACTATACTAGAGTATATGAGTACGTTGAGTAATGTTAGCATGATCGTCATGCACTTATTCCCAATGGTTAGCGAGTCTTTACCCCTAACTGTACGTGTCCGAACATGATTGACGGTCTGCCTAGTGTCTAAAGCGAAAGTGACCAGACAGAAGCATCGACGAGCAATGGTGGAGACTCGGTTGGGGGGACCTCTCCCTCTTTCATGACGTCTGTTGCCAAGGACACAAGCGAAGTTATTATCACCGACGTAGGTACCGCAGTAACGCTGCAGCTCTGAGGTCTAAAGTGTCTCCCCTCCTACGCATACGAAGTCTTTTCGCACGTAGTCGCAGTATCTGCTCAAATTTATTACGTATACACGTTGGTGCCATTACGTGGCTGTAAAGAAAACAGAAGTGCAGCCCTGCGGACCTCAAGGCTACTCTCATGGAGAAAACCATAGCTCGATAAGAGAGCAAGTCTACGTATACTTAATTCGGTTGTTCAGCGCCATCGACCCCTCGACGCGAAGCGTGAAAAAAACTGAGACTCGATTAAGTACTGACGATGGATTGGGGTCTGATGACCAGCGAAGTGCTATTACGGCTGTCAGAAGCATTCAATAGGCAACAGCCACGGAAAAAAGGAGAGGAAAACTAGCTTATGGTGCTCTTTAATATCGTAAGAGAAGGTAGGGGCAGTTTTTCTTCCTGAACGACAAAGTCGTGCCTCCGGCCCGAAGAAGCTCTGAAATTTCAGGTTTTCAACAAAGAAAAAGATTGGTGAAGCAAAAGAGGAAAGGGATGCACGTTAGGTTGAAATGTTCTTCTCCTCTACACTTAAGCAAATTCAGAGTTCTTCTCCGATTTTTCAATCGCTAATCCGTCAGTTGTTATTTCAATGATTTTGAGTAAATGTTAGCTCATAAGGAGAAAATCAAGCTATCCTAGTTATGATTTTCCAAATAAATTTCATAAACAAAATCGTGCCTCCGGCGCTCAGCTTCTCCACGAAATTCGGGTTCCAGCCGTGGACACGGCTGAAGCCCTTGATGACGGTACCTGTGATTTTCCCGAGGAGACCCCTGAGGATTGCGAGTCGCAATTTGCAACAACTGAGGGTGCGAAAATGTTCTCCTCCTTCTCGTCTCGTCAGTTGGTAGCTCTCTATCTTCGTTAACACTGTGAGTACGTAGTGGTCGCTTGTGTAGCTTTTTCCTTAGCGACAACAAGCGCCGCCAGGAGCAGGTGAACTGTCTGCATGTTGAATTGTGTAATACGGCGTGTTTCCACTCTGAGAAGTGCTGGTTTTGAGCCGAATCCGAAATGGACCCGTCGTACGGCACCCCTCCGCAAGACCGAGGGTAAAAAACTGCTGTAACTTGCACAGTGTCGCTGGCGATCACACTTTTATTCTCGTAGCTACTGCATTTATACTTGCGCTTCTCCGCGCCATTGACGTGTATTTCAATGCGTGAGATCACAGGCTGCTCCTGACCAACACCACCACTGATCAGCCGCACCGGTAGCTACGGCCCCCGTTCAGTGTCGTATCTGATAGCCAAGCGATTAGTACGCAGTGTTTGACTTACCGGGTCGAGTGGTATAACCAGTTAGTTAGTTAGCATGCTACGGGCCTGCTGCAATTGTACGCACTGGAATTAATCGCGTGTAGTGGCATCTCCATGTTGCAGGTAGATTGGACTGGGGCTTGGTGAGTGGGAAGGCCTGTTGCTTGGCTTAGTGGTCAATGCGAAATGGGAACTGAGAGAACAATGAGTGCTTCTATAGCTGAAGTCATACACTTGTCTATCAAATGACTCTGCACGATTGATGTTTAGAGCTAAGATCAAGGAGCCACCCCGGTAATCTATTTTTCTATCGTTAACCCTTTCACTACCAGCCCAGCCCGATGCATTAATAGGTCCGCAGCGGTCCTATTAGAGCAGGTACATGTACTGTTGATTGGATAAAAATACGTCAGAGGGTTTTGGGAATGCAGCTCACCAAGATTAGTAGGACCGCTGCGGACCTATAATTTACGCAGTACCGTGAGCGCCAGATTAGTTTGGGAGCAAGCATACTTGAAATTTCACATTTCCACGAAGTCTTTGTGCTAACATGAAATAGATGTACGGGCGTCATACACGCCAGAGTATTCACAAACTCATAGTACTCCATGCCATCCAAGCGGCTCGCGCTGTGCAATTCTACCTCGGGCGCGAGACCATCAGCTACGACGTGGAGTTGTTCGAGAAGCGTGTGCTCACCAGGGCTCGCAATCGGGTACCCGTTTCTTGTACCCGCCCTACCCGCCTCGGGTATACCCGGTTTCGGGTCGGGTACGGGTACCCGAAGCAAACCTCGGGCGGTGCCACGGGTACCCGAAGTTGACGAAAAAAGTACTAAATTGTAATATTTCTTACTTATACCAGCTATATCATGCTCCTACGCCGTCTTCTTTTAGCCTCCACAAGCCCTTTTCACTCTGTATTGATTTCGCGTAGTTCCTACTTAAATGTTTAACTTTAAAACCGTGTCGGGAGATGTAACAGTTGGTCCGTCCGTACAAAATCTTGAGCCCTGGCTGGCCCGGGTACACCCGTGGCTTGTGGGCGGGCGGGTACGGGTACCCGACTTCGGCTTGGACGGCTACACGGGCGGGTACGGGTACCCTGTCAGCACCGTTTGCGAGCCCTGATGCTCACATGCTTTAATCGCTTTCTAGCGGCGGCAACGAGCAGCGTGCCACATTCACCGGGTGCCGCGCGCAACGACTGAGCGCGTAGAAGGAGTAGCTCGCACCTATTCTAAGCTAACATCTTACGAGGTTGCAATAGTACCAGGGCGCGGGTACACACTGTAGTGTACCTGTATGTAGTGACTACATGCCGGCTAGTTGTTGCTGCCCGTGGAAGCATTCTCACCAATACTGGCGTATGGCTGCCATGAAAGCTTGTGTTGCTACGAGGAGGCTCCGTTAGGCGATAAAAATGAGGCCGAGCTGGTAAGGAATATAGGGCAAGCTACATCTAATAGCAAGAAAGACGCCGTACAACGGAGCTATTAGTAGATGCCAAACACTATCTTACTAAAATCTCAGATAAGCCAACATGTAGAACTGCTGCAACAGGTAGCAGTGTAAAGGGTAGCACCGACGCCGGAGCCCTGTCAGTGGTTAGCGCCTGACAAGCAGAGCTAAGCTGGTAAGTTACCAATGGTAACCGGCCTCCTAGCTACAATGCAATATCATCAATATGTAACTGAAGGCGTAAATACACCAATCTTCTTTATCTCAGCGGGTTCTACACAGCTTGGCAGGGTTGAACAGCGGCGAGCTTGCCATTGTTATAAGCTCGCCGCACTCATGGTCCAGCTACTACTTATTACAGTACACCCCTTGATGCAACCTCAGCGTCATTATCTACATGTACATGTATGTCGACGATCAAAACGAATACGCACAACGTAGAAGAGCTATATCTACTGATGAGTTGGCACAGTCGTAGTACCTGACTATATTATTCAGTCGCGCTACCTTCGCCTACACACACAGCGGAATATAGATACGCGTCAACTTACAAATGCAGACATTCTTGCATAGTACTATAGTGGTAGATAAGCTGGTAAAGTGCCCTCGAGCAAGGCGTACAACGGCTTGACAGCATTCGATCCTGTTGTCGATAAAAGCCTCGCCGTAGCGGCCCCATTCGCACGTCAATATGTTGCAGTAGAAGTATGGCACTAGGAGCGGCGGTCATCTCGCTAAATCGGAAATTCAGGTCTAATGCAGTACCGTGAGTTACTCCGCGGGCAAAAATAAGTTCCACGTGGAAGCAAAATGTTTCACTATTGGTTAATTTATTGAGGCGACTGCAAGGTGATTGGCTGTCATATGGGTCCGGAGCGGACCTACTAAAAATCTCTGGTAGTGAAAGGGTTAAATTCTGATCGGTAAACGCAATTTTTCGACTTAGGTCGCTCGAATGTAGCTATTTGGGGTGCTCCACACAACCTGCCGCCACAGGTAACATTCACCTAAAATATCACCTTACGCGGGGTATGTGTATTCTTTTACTCCACTGCACTGCAGTTTGGCTTGCTATTTGTATGAAACCCCTCGTTTATCCATTAAAGGTTATTGATCGACTTGGTCAGGAATGCACTAAGTCATTAATAAGACCAGTGACTCCAATCGTCCCTTAACTCTGAAATAAATTTCAGAGAATATTGACAATAAATAGTGGATATTGATGACATCGCTACAATACAATATCGATGCCCAACAATATTGCAATTTTACAATATCAATTTCTATTTTCCGATCCCTGGCGAACGACACGAAGTACGGCGCGGTTTCCTCGCCCAACGAGTTCTTCGAGCTCATTCACAACGGTAGACACCAGGACAAGCCCGTGCTCTTCACGTACGTCATCACCAACAAGGGTTGGTACTTCTCCGAGACTGGAGCAGACTTCTTCAAGGACATGCTCTCACGCACATACTGCACTCGGGAGCTGCCTTCTCTGTCAAGTACGCCGGCGAATTCCGCATTGACACCGACCGGTTCGACATGCCCACGCTGTTTATCGACAACAACAGTGGCACGTACGCGCCGCCCACCGAAGACCTGCTTCAGCTCCAGGCTCTCATGGAAAACAACGCCCCTGGAATTAATTGCATCGCGCTCGACCAAAACGACGAATCATTGCAGGAGGCGCACAAGGAGACCCTGGCCGCATGGGAGTAGAGTACTGTAAGCAGCTCGGTTTAATAGACTTGGTCGGTGTGAATCAGAAGCTTATTTCGTTTCGTTTTGTTTCGCATTGAGGTACATTGATGTCACTTAACTTCTTTGGCTAACGACAGCTACGACCTTGTCGGCGGTTGTCTCAATCCAACCACCCTACGAAACTGTTCTAGCCGCAACCAGAGCCACCTTCACACACTAACGCGTGAAGGCCGCTAACCCCGAGGAGTTCTCATCGCTGTTTTGCTCCATCCAGTGACTAACGTCGCCGGAAGCGTAGTTGTACACGTCGTCCCAAATCGAGTCGGAGCCACAGACTCGGTTAAGGTTTCTTTGAAAGCTGCGGCGTGAGTCCATCGCCATGTTTGCGAGGGCGTCTGCCTTGCTGTTGTGCGCACGAGGGTGGTGCTGCCAGGAGATGACCGCCAATTTGTCGGCCACCCTTCGGCTTTGCCAATACAGCGGTCGTAAATGCTTGGCGCGTGGCGGTGTCCGCGTCTTCTGCTGATGAATGATGAGGTTGCTGTCACCTACCACATGAAGTGGCGTCCAGCCAAAACGAAGGCACGCCTTGAGCCCTGTCAGGAGCCCCATGTTCTCCACCACGTTATTGGTCGTGCTGGCTGCCGCGTAGGACATGCCAACGGCCCAACAGATCTCATGTCCACCCCGTACGTTTCCAATGCGGACCACTGCAGCACCACAGCCGCCAGGGCCTGGATTACCACGCGAGCCGCCATCGAAAAAACCAGAAGCTTGTGTTGCTAGCATGACGACTTATTGACGAGGAGGCTAGATACATGTGCGATGTAGTAGTCACTAGTACTAAGCTTCAAGTTGCTACAGAAGTAAGGACAATATTATCCAACTAACGAGGAACTTGACTATATTTATTTTAGGTTACTGATTTTACTGCGACCTCTTGCTGCGGTCCAGGGCCTCGACCGAAATTCCGGAGAAGTTGGTCTCGAGCAGCGCCTTGGGCTGCGGCAGCTCCTCCTTGGGGGGGGGGGGGGGCGTACGTGCCGCTGTTGTTGTCAATGAAAAGCTTGTAGTTGCCCGAGGGGTCCTTCTCAATGTGGAACTCTCCAGCGTACTAGACATTGAACTGAGCGCCCGAGTGCAGCATGTGGTTGGACAGAATGTCATTGAACGTCAATCTCGAACGTCACCTCGACCTGCGGCTCGCCACGCTTGGTGCGCTCCAGGCCCGAGATGTTGAACTCGCCGACCTTGTTGTTTGGCTTGACGCAGGCGCGCTCGCCATCGTAGATGCACACGTCCACGGACGTCTGGTAGTCCTCCTCCGTGGTGTACACGCGGATCTTGCGCACGGGGATGGCCGTGCTACGCTTGATGAGCACCGACATGACCTTGCCCACGGTCTCAATGCCGAGCGACAGCGAGGTCACGTCCACTAGCAGGAGCAAGTTGGTACAGCGGCACCGTAGGCCATGGCCTCGTCCGGGTTGATCGACTTGGACAGCTCTTTGCCGCCGAACAGCGTCGACATCATGGTCCGCACCTTGGGGATACGCGTCGAATTGCCCACCAGCACCAGTTCCCCCAGGTCATCAGGGCCGTTCTCAACAGAGGTAGATTGGTAGATTTTGGTAGTATCCGTGCAACCTTGTACAACTTTTGAGCGTAATCGTCCCTGACGTAGAAAGGCGCAAGATATCACGAGGTAGTACAGGAGGTAGTACATGAACTTTATCAAACTTGAAAGAGTTCACGGTTGTACAGAGGGGAAAGTCGAATTTTTGCAGTTGAATTCCCTCGTTGCAGATGCGAGTACCTCCACCATTCCTCGAGTCTCCGTCAACCCCCCAGTTTGCTTTGGTTTCCCTCCCCCCTCGCTACTTTGACCTACATGCCACCTACCATCCCCGCTGCTGTAGCTGGGGGAGGCTACGAACGTGGCGCGCCCGCCCCAGTATTCTCCGTCTCCTCTAATAGCAGCGGGCCAAGAGTGTCTACAGCATCTCCATCTTCGACCCAGTCTCCAGGAAACGACAACATACGCGAGACCAATTCTCAAGCAGCTGAAGACGCGACTTTCAGCAGCTCCATGCTGTCAATATTCTCAATTGCTCTCGCGTAAGATACGGCTACTCCATTGTCGCTAAGCGAGGTTCAACCCTCTGGTACAACGGACGCGATAGTGCGCGTGGATGAGGTCGACGTGCACCAGGGTATCTCCTCGCATGAAGTGGGGCGTGAAGGAACCCCCGTCGAGTCGGTCACCATTGCTGAGCAAGTACGCCAGCAATATCCAGGTGCAGATGCAAGTGAAAGCTCGGACCAGGAAGAAGAGCAAGATCAAGGAAAGACCGCTGAAGGCACGGAGCTGAGTTTCGATGATTTCGAGTGGTTAACGGAGACGGTGGAGCGTGATGGGAGACAAGTAGAAGTCCCTGTCATTTCAACGATCAGAGGAATGCCGCCTACAAAAACGAAAGTCCTTGCTCTGCGTAGCTTTTGTATTGCAAGTGGCATTCGAGGTTACTTAAACAAACCCAAGGCTGTGCTGTTATCTCTGATCGCTCAACGGATGAAGAACGACAAGATCTACGGGCATATTTTTGAGAACAAGATGCAACAGCGGCGTGAGCCCGAGTCGAAGCAAGTGCAGTGCCCGTTTCGACTGTTTAACATTCTGTTTTCCAGTCGATTTGCGACTAGATTTGTCGCCCTTTTCGACCAGCGTACGCGTGCCGATCTCGGCGCCGCTGTATCAGCGGAGGAACAGTTTTGGGAGGACGTTTTTGCTGCATTCTTAGATTGCACACCGGAGGAAGAGTTCGACAATTTGATTGGTGCCCACCCTGCATTGGACCCCAACTGTGTCAACCCTGCAAGCATCGTTCAGCACTCGGTCAAGCAAATCCGCCAAATTTGGGGATCGGCTCACGGAGCTTACCGCCAGGCCCACATCCGCTTTACCACGACTGGCACAAACGGCAAGGACTTCTACAAGTACTGTAACGGGCGTTTGGATGCACTTTACATTCATATGCACCTACAGAAAAAGCGTGAGCTTGTCGGTGCTGTGAATCGTGACCTGCCAGACGACGTTTTCTACGAGAGCACCGATTCAACGCAGCGTGACACGGGGTCGGGTTCAAACCGCAGGAAGAAAAACAAGGTAGCTGAAGCAATCCGGGACTTTGGAAACCAGGCATGGCGGGTAGAGCTGGCAACACTCAAGCAAGTTTCGGAGGAACGCAAAATTTGCCTTATGGAAAAACAAGTGTCGAGCCGATCGAATTACCTGCAGCGCAAGCTAGAGATCGAAGTGAAGAGTGCAGCAACGAAGGATTACACTTTTCTCAGCGATCGGATCCGGGCTCTGATTGTGCTTCAAGATCCCAAGACCAATCTGAGGGTTCTTCAAGATCTGGACGAGGAAATCACGGTACTGACGGCGAAGAGGCAGAAATCGAAGCATGATCTAGTTTGGTGATGAATGCACGGTTTTGACGGCAAACCAACATACATTTGGGGGAGTCTAGGTCAGCTCCTAATCAATACATTTCTAGTGAACGTGATTTTGACGTCTATAGCTTTTTTGCGAGCATCTTACCGTTAGCAGCCGCCTACCGTTGGGCCATACGGATTCCGTCATATCTCTTTTGTTCATGCCCCACAACTTTGAAAAAACCAACGCAAGCGGAGATCCAGCGACAAAACACAACGTAGGTTTTGCTGTGGCAGGTAACCATGTCGACACAGTATGGACAGAGATCTTGCCACCGCCGATGATCACTTTATCATGGTAGAGTCCACAAGATGACAAGCAGAGGCTGGCATACAGATTACCACGCGCTATACGCTTAGTCAGTACCGGCACAGCAACTCTCCGGTTCGGGCTCCATCGGTAAATGTGGAGTACATGATGCCGGCCCAAGTCAAGTGACCGCTCCCATTTCACACTGGCACCTGGAAACTGCATGATCATAAACATCTTTATGTTGTCTTCCTAGTCATTAAATCCACATCGTCGTATTAGCTGGTGTAGAAGTTTATCTTTGCAGTCTGTCACCGTGTGAGTGCTCATTTGCCCAATAGAGTATTATAACCAGTGGTACGACACTCACCTGGATCAACGCACCGGCCACACAGTCAAGATGCAGGCCAGCGTTGGACGCAAGGTGTGTTGCCTGATGCGTTTCGGCAAGTTCAGCGATACAGATAGTGCATCGTCGCTCTGCTGTACTTGCCCAAGATGCAGTCCACGAGCTCCGCTGTGCCCTCCCAGTTGTCGGCGCCCTCGGTGTATGCGCGGTCGCCGTGCAACGCGTGAGCCCAAAGCCACAGATGAGCACCGTGTCGCCCAAGCTACTGTCAATTGCGTCGCTGTTTATGAAGAACGAGTAGCAGCAGCGCGCCAACTTCAACTACCAGTTTTATTATAATTGCGCCCCTATTTGGTCAAGAGGTAAGATCGCGATATCGCGTCTGAAACCAGCGACCGCGTTGAACTGGGAGGGAGACCTCGAACCCTGCGTTGCCATCATGAACTATACAATTACTGTTCTACACATATCGTGTCGATTTCATGCTTACCGGGGTAGGCAGTACGATACCGCCATTTTGTTAGCTGCAGTAAGCGCATACTGTAGTGCGAAGCGAGAATTTGCTTCGTGCTTCGTCGTATAGTGTTTCAAAGCCACCGCTCGCATGTGCAACGTCAAGTCGCCGACTTGTACAACGAAGGAGCTCATGCCTGCTCGTAAAACGACAGCACGCTCAGCGTTAGAGTTAGTAAGCGGCGAAAAAATACATCCATGTTCTGAGAGCACAGTGCACTTTGGTACGCGATGCAAAATTAATTATGACGATGTGAGCATCAGCTCACTGACCATGAAAAACTTTGAAATGGGGCGCGAGAGATACAAGTGATGGAGGCTACTGCAACCGCGTTACTGGGTAGCTTCCAATCGAACGATGGTTGGGTAACCGTCGGTTGCCGCAAACGCGGAATTCGTTCGTGCTTGAAATGCTATATAACAATGCGTCGTTGGTGACAACATCTACCGAAGGAATAATGTTTGCATCCAGGCAGCGACGCTTTACAGCTCATCGTCTATCCAAAGTACACGCAAACTGCATCAGTACCAGGTGCTTCAGTAGTAGGTAGGTCTTCGTCACTCATCGATACTCTTCCGACAGACCCACAGGTTTCAAGTACATGAGGTCTACCCGTTGGAAAATTTGAGCGCTCTACCACGTACTTGCAGCGATACGCGAACATCGATTCGCGACATCGATCGCGTGGTTTGAAACACGTATAGTTAACGAAGATGTGTAGTTTGGCATGTCTTTCTTGGTGTAACCTCAAGCATATTCCGCAGCAAACCGCTATCTTGAACCAAGATAAAGTTCTACGCTCGGAAAACGCACCGACCACAACCTCTTTGACATCAACACAGCCTTCAGATCAGCATCTTTGGAGAGCATTAGACAATCGGTGATCATAGAACGAATATATTGTTAGCAAAATGTGAGTCCTTGATTCCATTCTTGATTAGACCGCTTACACACCAGATATGAGTGTCTACTCTTGTTACGAAGTCCTGCGAACGAGATTGCGGTGAGGTCTGCTTAAAGACGCGTTCTGGATGAAGCGTACGAGCCTGCCACGCGCATCAGATACACCAGCAGTGCTGAAAGCTTGTGGGTCCAATGGATCGCTTGGCAAGTATGCCAGACGACTCGGTCCATGAGCGATTGTGTTCTCTCTTGCCTCAGCCGCTGCAAATTCTGCTGGGAGGTCAGCGCAGAAGTTATGCAGTCGAGCTATAGCCATTAGGGCTCGACTAACATTCTTGGGCTTCAGTTGAAGAGAATAGTTGAAGCATCTCCACTTGTTGCTGATCCTTCCAAACGTCTGCTCGATCTTAATCCTTAGCTGACTTAAGTAAAAGTCGAAAGTGTCGTGCGCTCGGTTAAGCCGTCCAGTGCCTCCAAAAGGCGTGAGCATGTGCTCCGAAGGCATATACGCTCCATCGCCGATAAAATATCGGTTATTGCCGAGATTTTCGACGTAAGCCGCCAGCTTCGTTCTTGCGAAGGCCCATAAATCACTGGATCCGCCAGGTGCAGCGACAGCGAAATAAATGAAGCGACACTGGAAATCACATGCTTGGAGGTTGAGACCCATGTGGTGATAATGGCCCGAGAGTAAGCCCGAACATTGCCACCCGCTTGCTTCCGCGTCGGTGTAATAAATCGGGCTAGCATGCCATCCACGCAGCCAACACAGCCGTCCAAAACACCTTCGCTGCTCGATTTCGCGAACTCCGCCGCTGCCCAGTCAATCTCACTTGGGGTTGTAGGAAGCCGAATAGCCAACTCGACACAGTTGAGAACAGCAAGGATGCCCTTGTTCAAACACCGATAAAACGAAGGCACACTCACTTGAGCTACGTCTCGAATGTCCAAATACGAACCGCCAGCAAGGTAGTGGAGCGTGCAGTGTAGTACAACTTCTTCAGATATAGGAGTCACTCCAGTCCTTCGCGTCGACATCACACCGTCCACGCTCAACGACGGCCTTAGCATGCTCAACAAGCGGTTAAAATGCGCTTCATCCATGCGAAAAGTCCTATCAAAAGTCTTCTCCCGCTGGTGTCGTTGTAGGTGCTCGGACCATATCATGCGCTGGCGTGCGTAGAAGGTCTCGCGAATGTTCAGCTCCGAAGCCGCAGCTGTGAAGCAAACGAAGGCACCGTCTAGCATGAACTCTCCTTCTGAATCGCTGTCACTCCAGCCAAAGAGCTCGCCATCCGAATCATCGTCGCTCCACGCAAAGGGATCGCCGTCCGATCCACTGTCGCCCCAGGCAAGGCAATCGTCAACGAAGGGGTCACCATCTGAGCCGCTGTCGCTCCAGGCAAGGAGATCGTCGTCTGCAGTCCAACCAGAGTCACGCAGCGTGCACTCGTCTGAGTCTACATCTCGGTCCATGGTCAGAGAGAGCGGTTGTCCGATAAGGAAATGGAGAGAGGGAGGGGGAGGGAGGCAGCGGGAATTCTCGCTTGAAGGCAATTGTGAAATATGACATTAAAAATCGGGTGAACGGATGCACTTCATTCTTATCAGAGCGGTATATGTTGCACGGTGATACCCGCACGTCTCTAGCACATTCGGACCTTGGTTGTACGGTGATTCAAATCTACCTCTGTTAATAACGGGCCTCAGGCTTCGAGCACCTTGAGCGCGGTCTCCTCGCAGCGCTTGAACAGCTCCTCGTTCAGCGACTCGAACCTAGTATAATGTTTTCCGGAATCTTGCGTTTAAGATATTTTTTAATCGAGTTGCCAAATAAGGAGGTGATTAAAAGGACGACCAAACCCATTTTCAAATTGTTTGAACGGAGACTTTTTTTGATCCTCCAAACAGTTCCGTTTAATCGCTCCGTTTAATGACCGGTTTAATCCCCCCTACCCCTAGTGACCAAACCGTTTTATATACTAAGTAGGTTTTGGAAGGCGCCCACTCGAGCCCACAAATGCCCAAAGTAAGTCGAAGTGACCAATTAAGAGTACCCAAATGAGCGATGAAGAACCCAAATAAGAGCTCACTTGACCCACTAACTAACAGCACAGCGCAAATGTCGCCGCCTGCCGACGCCACCGTCGCCAAGGAGCGACACGAAGGCGCGCCGCTGAACCGCCGCGTGTTCGACTCGTGGGAGGCTACATAGACTCGTACGCGCGCCGCAGCTACCAGATCTTCCGCAAGCGCACGCCCACGTCCGTGAAGCTCCGCAACCGGCGGCGTCGGCGGACAGCGCGCGCCTAATCCCGCTAAAGTACATCAACTACTCGGTCACGCTCGTGTGCACACACAGCGGTAGCTACAGTATGTGTCCCGCGGCACGGGGCGGCGCTCGCGCCAGGTAAGCTGATAACTTACAGTCTGACATCAAACGGCAATTGCTTTATTGACTCGTGCTGTTTGATCATGCCAGGACGTGCGCGCCATGCACTGCAATGTGCAGTTGAACGCGTGCTTGAATGAAGCTCGTGGACCCGGAGGTTAACCGCTACGAGGTCAACGTCACGCGGGCGCTGCTGACGCACAACCACCGCGTGGACAAGGAGACGTACCAGCAGTACAGCAACGCGAGGCTTGGTCTCTCGGACGAGCTGCTCAGCTGCGTCGAGCTCATGCACAAGACCAGCGTCAAGCCCAAGGAGATCCGCTCCTATATCATGGAGAACTCGAGCTGCACGCCGACTTTCAAGGACGTGCAGAACATGCTACAGCGGCTGAGGAACCAGGAGCGCGCTGCGGCGGCGAAGGCGACCAGCTTTCACCCTCCAGCGGCCAAAGCCGGCTTGCTGTCGTACCGAGCACCCCCGGGAGACATTGCGTGAGTATCGCCTCGCCACCGCAGCTGCTGCCAATAAGGACCCGCCGGAGCCTGTGGAGCCCACGACGCAGTTCAAGGTGGCACACGCAGTAGGGAAGGCTGTGGCTACTATGCTGGCGGGGATACCTGCAACCGAGTTTGCAGGCGCCTTCTGTGTGATGGAAGTCGCCACGAACATCGTGCGCGAGCGGCGGGCGGAAGCCGCAGCAAAACTCGCAGCAGCGAGTGAAGAAGTCGAGAGTGAGACGACGACCGACGCCGATGCATCTCTCAGCGTTGCGAGCGCGGGCGTTCCTTCGGTTGATGATCCAGGCCCGAAGTCTTTAGGAGGTTGGAACGTTTTTGATAAGGATACATGTATTGTACAATGCAATTCCACCTAGCTCGGCAGGGCAGAGATCAAAGGCAAACACAGGACCTCGAAGCTCAACTGTTGACGCGTCGTCCGTCTAACAATCTAGAGATACCTTCTACGCAGCACCGCTTGCACCGGAAATGCGGCTGCAACGACCAAGCTCTGCAACCACTCGAAGAAGCTGGAGAGAAGCTGGAGCCGTTCATCCTTCGGGTGCCGGGCCGCCCAGCAGCGCCAGCAACCACGGCAGGGCCCTCGCCATATCGCACATAGTTGAATGGGTAAGACACGCCTTGGACGCTGCCATTGTTGGAGCGAGGCGCATCACCAGCGCACCGGAAAGTGCGTGTGCAGCAACCGCCCTCTTCATCCACGCCAGCACGTGGAGCGCGTCAAGAAGCTCAAGATAGGCCCGCCCCGCTCATTGGCCCCGAGGACGCTGTCACGAACGGTGCCACTGCTCTTGTCGGTGGCCAGCGCAGAGACATCGGCCGCAACTTCTACGAGGCTACAGTGCTGGCCCATGTAAACACAATGCGTGTTGGTCGGACCTGTTGTGCCGCTGTTCAAGTTCACGACGGAGGAGGAGGTGATCGAGATGGCCAACTCCACGGAGGCCGGTCGTGCCGGGTACTTTACTCGCAGAACCTGTCGCGAACGTGGCGTGTGGCTGCTGCGCTGGACTGCAAGGGCCTCCGTCTCCTCTGTCTTCTGCTTCAACTGCACGTGCATTTTGTCGAAAGCACCTTTCCAACGCGCTGCCATTCCCACTGATCGTCTTGCTCTTGGGTTTACCTTTCGAGCTATGCAAGTACTCGACCGAGTTGCTCGGCGCCGTAAGCCCCATCGTACGAGCGTATATGATGAAGAGGCGCAACCACGTGCAGCCGATAAAACGTTACCGAAAATACTTCCTCGGAGCTCCAGCGAAGACGCCCTGCCGTCGAGAAGAGATCCGAGACACAAGAGAGTAGACGCTTCAGTATGGACCATAAGGTCACCACCTACTACACTCGGCGGGAATGCCAACGTCAAGGTTGGCTTTCAGATCCCCAACGTAGCAGGAAGGAATGCCTACTCATCCGCGTCTGACTGTTCGCAACTTTGATCACGATAGGTTCATGTTCGTGCTCGACCTTGCGCAGACGGTCAAAGCGCCCCCGAAGACATGTTCGAGCGGAAGGAAGAGGCACCTAGTAATATCGTGATCAAGGTAGGGAAGCTGGTCTGATAAGCTCGCGGTACATTTTGTGAGGTTGCTGAGCTGCTTGACACGGAACGAATGCAATACGGAAACGACGCCTTTAGCTTCGATAATGTAGGGCAGTAATTTGTGGAGACGAATTTGACGTCTCCACAAATTGCGTCGAGCGCAAATGAAGCGTACCATTATTTTGGTTCAATTCCCAATCACCACTCATGCTGAGCGTTCACGCCCGCGCTCTCAAGCTCTGCGTCAGCGCTTGTCGGAACTCGCCAGTGATCTTGGGACTGTGCGTGCATGAAGTGGTGGGCATCTCCGCCGACGTGCAGGCGGAGATTGCGGAGAACGAGACGTTGCAGCAGGAGAACAGGTAGGACTGACCGAACAGCAGCAAGAACTACATAGTGAACATGGCCAAGTGGCCTTACATAGCAAACAAATACATCAGTCTTCAATCTTCCTCGCCGAGCTCACTTCCACCTGCCAACAGCGCTCCCAAGCCGTGGACAGCAGAGCCAGCGCAAGATGCTGAGTGTTTACTACCACCCAAGTTGATTGAACGTGCACCTAACGCATTGTTTGTTACTAACGATAAGTGAGTGTAGCCATGTATTTAGCACTCAAATGTGATGGGTTTGGTCGGTATCATCGGTTGTAGCAAACACGACGCAAACGAGGACATATTTGGCACATAAATCGCGATTTGTGACAGCGTTTGTGATAGTTTTGGAAGAGTTCCATGGCCCGTGCAATCAGCTAAATACGCCCATAGCCTTTCATATTTGGGGCGAAGCCCCACCCTATAATGAAATCGCTCTGTTTTATCGCTTTGATTTACTTTCTTTCGATGAATTTATGGATAGGGCTAGGGAAAGGTTTAATGGTTGCCTTTCCCAGGGGCAAAAATGCTGCATTTTACCTCCATATAAGATCCTTTCAGGCTCAATGTCCAACGGTTCCGAGTGACTATTCATAGAAGCTCAGGGATTTAGCCTCCAACAAAGGATGCGAAAGCCATTAAACGGAGGCCCGACTTTTAGGAGGCCTCCACCAAATAGAGCATCTATGGGCTGTGGGCCTTCTAAAGTGGATTTGGTTTAAAACTGCGTTATTTTAGCTAAATTAGTACTCTGATTTGCTGAACTATTGACCCAATTTTAGCGTCGTATTGCACAGAAATCGGGGTAAGTGCCCTTGTTGAAGGTCTACTTAGAGTAGCTCTGGTCAGTAAGCAAGTTGCTCAGCTACTGCATGCCGCAGGTGGCACCGCTCACTCTGCCGTCACCTCACGCATTCGGCACGCCTCCCCCAGGACCGCTCTCGGGTGCGGCCAGGTCGGTTGGTAGACTGGGAGCAGGACACACGCGCACAGAGGAAGAGGCAGCGGCGACGGCGTGGATTTGGGCGGGCGACTGGCGCTTAGGGCGAGCACGCTCACGAACACTCTGCGTAGCTCCCTCCCAGCCATACGCGGCAGCCGCAGCGCCTCTGGCTACCGCGGCTCCACCTTCGGCTCAGACGTCGTGCTGTTGTAGCAAGACGCGGGCACGTAACGTGCTGCAGGGGCTGCAGGCGCCCATCCGTTCGCCACTATGACCCACGGCGGTGGCAACCCCTAGAGCAAGGAAACTGAGCAGAGCTCAAGTGTCCGCCCACTACGAGCATGTGCATGACCCATGCGCGCTGGCTGACAAGCATGATGACGAGCTCGTGATGGCATGAACAAGGACTACGCCGGACACGGTTTCAAGCATGTCATTACAGCAGACCACCCCCACAAGCACTTCCCCACTATGTATTGATAGCTGGACTTCAGTGCCCGACAGGTTGAAGCACAACAGACGCTCAGTATGACCTTTCCGTGGCTTCCTTTTCGAGTTTGCAGCTCTCTCTCTCTCTCTCTCTCTCTCTCTCTCTCTCTCTCTCTCTCTCTCTCCCTCTCCCTCTCTCTCGGGCATAAGGATTTCCTCTACATGTAGTGATATTATTCATCTCAACTCGATCACACCACTAACAACGCAGTATACATCAAAAAGACATGTATCAGCACTTTTAGCCGGTAACTCCTCATTCCTTTAGCGAATCCCGTACCAGACGATGATTTTGTAAGTTTCCGCACACCACGATTCTGGGTTGTCAGCGACAATCTGTGTTTAACGTGAAATAACGCTGTAGATAGTAAACTGCAATAATTGTGAAACTCAGCAAGATTGCCGCCAGCCTCCTTGTCGCTCCATAACTCAAAGTCTAATAGAACTAAAGCATTACAGAGTATTCGTTAAGCTTCCCCGATATTACCTTCATTAGCGATGTTGCGTGGTTGCTACATGGATGGTTTTCGTACTTTTGACTAATGATCCAATTGCTGGGGCCGATTTCTCACAAATGGGACCTCAGATAACGCTGTGAAACCTGAAATAATGCTTTGTAAACCAATTTAGTGATTAGCAATTCGATCCATACGGCGTGCAGTAGCAGTATGGCTTCGCTTTAGCTTCATATACTTCAAGCAATAACTTACTAAATAGTGAATTCCTTCCATATTTTGAACTTCAAAATATATCATGTTTGCTGAAAAAGAGGAAAGATGATTTTTCCCGCATTAGTAGAGGTCTGCTCATGCGAACAAGTTTCAGTAAAAAGCTTAGGATGGGTTTTCACTAGTGCTGCACATGAGACTTTCGTACACATACATAGTTTTAGTTTTAGGGAAACTAATAGATAACAGTCGCAAAAAGTCTGTCTTAGCGGATGGTGCCCAGTTTTGCAAAAATCCTACTTTAAAGCGAGTTTAGCCATGGTTTCTATTTATTTGTATTTTATCTAGATTTGTGAGTGGTATGCTGCATTGAGAGGGTCGTTTCGAATAAATGTTCGTCTCGGGTCAAATCACAGCTTTGTAGGCTTGTAAGAATGGTGAAAACACATTAAGGCTCCTAAACATATAAAATTATTCACAGGTCGAAGATTCACAGGTCGAAGAGCTGTGCTTGGTCAGCAGAATTTTTTTGTAACTTACCGAAACCGGGTACCTTTCTATCCTAAATAGGGTACTGACTCACCTAAACAAATACATCTTAAGGATACGAATGGCTACATGTATTACTCTGCAGCTCAGCGGTTGTTGCTAACTTTTACACTAAAACCTGAGGTTACAACTAAAAGCTATGATGCTATAACTCATTTCTGTGCTAAGGATTTCACGACTACTTACACTGTGCTGCGAGTCCGCTGAAGCATACTTTATCGCTGGGCAACGCTTGTCAATATACCGTGCTATCATGTTTGCTAGCTCGAGCTATGTAAGCTGTATGCCTCAAATGTTGAAAGCTTAGTACATCGTCTCACATTAGACACGCTCGCCAAAAATGGAACGGAGGGTGTTAATATTGTCTTCACTGCAGATTTGGATACCGGCATGTACAGTATCGATAGTTTTCTGTAATGCGTAGTCGGCATATTGTACTCTCAGTTTATTTCGTACACAAGAGACTTAGTGCGCTGCATTTCGACGCAGACAAGCACGTTCAACGCGGATGCGTGCAAGTATATTCCAAATTGGTTAAGCACTGAAGTGCTAAAAAATATGCACTACCAGCCCAAACCTCTAGTTGTTTCAGTGAAATCAGTACCATAATCGAAAGAATCTCAAATCAAATACACCAAGGTCTTTGGCGAGTTCATGAACAGTAATTGGGTTCTGTACTTATTTATTGAGATTATTTGTAGGAATTTTCCTGGTATTTGTTATAATTATTTGGGGTAGTAAATGGTAATATATACTGGGCCCAGTGGGCGGCAACCAGTCGCTGCATCGCCTCGCGATGAGGACGCATTTGCCAAATGTGGACACTTGTAATAAAATTGCAACTGTTTCATGTTCTGAGATGGACACAGTTCTAGAAAGTGTCCATTTAGCAACAATTACTGACAACTTTTGTTTTATCGGTTCTGCTAGGCTGGACAAGCGACGCTGAGTGTGCAGCTACCAGCGCTCGATGGACTGAAGATGTTCGTGGGCTCGGCGCGGAGAAGAACGAGGTCTTTGTCGGGTCGCCGCAGAATTCGTCGATTGTTGCCGAGCTGCCGTGCGTGACGGTGCGTTTGGAAGGATATAAGAGTTCATGCCTATGAAGATGGGGCTGATCTGTTTTTAAGAATGTGGCGGACGCTTTCCACGATGTGGAGTTTGTGTGGGACGACGAGTGGATGCGGTGGTATGTGGACGAAGTGCTGCTGCTGTAAGAGTTTATCCACGAGGTGGAGGAGGGGAGTAGTGCGAGCAGCGGGGGGGGGGGGGGGCAATGTCGTCGTGGAGTTAGCAGTAAAGGGGGACGGAAAAGGTGCCAGTGGGGTAAAGCTGGCGGTGAAGCGGATCGAGTTGGGCTCGGCGGACGCGTCGGACCCGTTGTGCGCGCCGCGGCATCCAATCGCGAGCAATTGCCGAGCGACAGAGTGTACGTTGTCTATCAGATGGTGGATGCGTTAGGATGTTTATTTATTTGAGGCGTTGCTATTGTGTTGCGTAGCTTTTTCTCCGCGGCTTGGGTCGGTTCAAGGTTCTCTGTCGGTGAACGAAATGGAGTCCTTCATCAACGAAATAGCCGAAGCGTTTTCGAGAGATGAAGTGAGCCACGTTTTCAAGCCCGAACTCGACACCACGACAGTCCACGGCTTTGCACTAGGCCTGCCTGGCCAGCAGTAGGCAGCTTAGTTTTAGTTTTAGGGGGCGGCGTTCCTCAGCTAGCTTGCGTGCAGGCCAACTAGCTGGCCGACTTGACCGACTTTAAGAGCCGCCAGCCGCCGCCCCGACCCCCCCCCTACCATGGCGCGTTAGCAGCCCCTGTGGCTTCCAGCACTTCCGCCCCTGCGTCTTTACCATGCTGTCGGTGGCCTCAGCATCGGCAGAACCGGCCCTCAGCGTGGCTCAGCAGCAGCAACCACGACCAGCCCAGTCCGGCACAAGCCCCCTCCCAGCAGCCCAAGCAGACCACCTTCAGCCCACGCCCATCAAGCCGACCAAGTCCCCAAGAAGCATGCGGCCTTGCGCCGATATTGCAGCCCTTAGGCTCCCACAGCGCGTGGTGCCGGAACTAGCCCCGGCCCAAGTTCCCCGCCGCAGTACCTAAGCCGTTCCAGTAGTTCGTGCAGTCCAAGCACTCCAAGCCGTCGACGCACCGCCGTCCACCCTGACCAAGCAACCCAAGCGGCCCCAGCAAAGGCTCCAGCAGCCCAAGCACCAGCAAGGCAAGCTCCTGGCCACTGCCGGCTCCGCCGTCGGCTGCCATTGTGCCCCCACCGTGCGGTGGTCGGCATCGGCACCGGCGCGGATGCCCAGCAGCCCACGCCATGGAAGCCGCCCAAGCAGACATGCAAGTCGCCCATGCTGATCCAAACTGCATGAGCTGTACACGCTAATTCATATCTACTGGCTGTTGAATCTAGAACTTGGTGTATACAATCGACATTTTGACGACGGACTATCGCATGGAGGCCTGGCAGCGTTGGAGCTGCTGTCATCGCGCCAACTCTGGTGGTTTATGCTGGCGGTGAATCTCGACGGCTACGCGCACAATGAACTAATGCGTGTGTGAGAGCACAATAACATGAGCCAGCGCAAGAGCGCCGCGCAGACTTGCGACAAAAGCCCACCCGACGCAGGAGTTGATCTGAACCGCAATTACGATGTCTACTTCGCGATCAAAAGCAAGGGCAGCAGCGATGATCCGTGTGGTGATGATTACAATGGGCCGACCGCCGTCTCAGAGCCGGAGACGCAAGCTGCTCGCGACCTGGTGTGACTTCAGCGTGGTCCTCAATTACCACTCCTTTGGCAAGTACTTCAATCTGCCGTTCGCTTGCCAGGATGAAGGTAGCCAAACAACTCGGTGTTTGGGGCACTGGCTCGCGAGCTGGCGCATTTCAACGGATTCGGCTATGTTCAGTCGTGGAAGGAGAGCAACCTGTACACCGTGAACGGCGAGACGAGCGGCTGGATGTGGCAAGCGCACGGTATTTTCGCCATGTCCCCCGAAGTGGTGCCAGCATTTGAGGTGTCGTCTGTCCCCAGATCACAGCGTGAAGACGTCTCTCACCTACCAGTATCAGCTATCAGGTATCAGCTGAGCTACACTACACGAACCTGCAGCTTGCGCGCATGGCAGGACTCGTGTACTATCTGGCTCCTGAAGAGAGTGCAGCTAGGAGCGATCGCGGACGGCGACTCGACGACTTCGTTCTTGCCTGTGGGGTGGCAGTCTCGAACAGCGGACTTCGACCTGCGTCTGCGGAGTTGTTGGGATCTGTTTATGTGAACGGAACGGGTGCCAGTGACGTTGTACATCTTGAGCTCAAGGCAGAGCCGGAGGGTTTACTTCGAGTGCGACTGAAGAGGGTTTTACGCTGATGATTCCCCATTTTGGAGACGATTTCCACCAGTCCATGAAGGAGATTGATGTCCTGTACTTGGTTGTGCGAGACGGTCTTAGCTGCCATCTCTTCCGTGCCGGTACGTTCTGCGGTGATGCATTGCACGAAATAAGTTGCTTAACTAACATTCGTTCTCGTGCGCTCTTAGCTGTTCATTTCGATACTGCTGCTGAAAAGACGAACTTACCCAACTTCCAAACGTGGACAGCACTCCCACTACCTCGTTGTGGCATATGCGAGCAGTTTGGTGCCCCGCTAACCCACCGATGGATCCACAAACAACGCCAGCACCTCTCCGATTTGCTCAGGAATATAGGACGCAGTCGTCTTGAAGTCGGTTCGCACTCGAGATACCGGCTTGTCGACGATTTCTGAACCAGCAGACTCCACTACGATCGGCTCCGCGACTCCTGCTGCATCTGTTCCAGCTCCTACTATCGAGTCCAGCCCCACTGCCACCGCTGCCAATACCAATGTCAGATCCAGCGGCAGCATTTCAACGGGAGCTGACTACGAGTTCATCATCAATTCTGCCCTCGTCTGTGTCGTGGTCGGGTCCAGTTGCGATGGCTTTGCTGTTACTGGTGGTGGTTGTGCTCTTCTTCCGCCGTCGTTGCCGGCGAACCAAGTAGAAACCTGCCAGGACCAAGGCACCGTCAGGCGGTCAGAAGAGACGCAGTAACGTGCACCGGTGAAGACCTGAACTCCCCTGCAGCAGGAGACAAGCAACTCACCTACGACGATGACGACGAAGAGTTTGATTTACTCGACGCAGAATGTGGAGAGAGAGGCCTGTCACCTCAAGATGAAGACGTGGTGGTGTCCAAGGATCGCAACATCTCCTTGTAGAACGTCGAAGGCATTGCGTTCGTCTGACGAAGAGGTGGTCCAGAACCTGGAGGCTAGACGTGGTGGAAGGTTCGAGTGATGTATGATAACGTGCGTTGTGTTGATCTTGTCGGCTATATTTTGCTTGCTACCTTCAACGCAGGTTTGCAAGGACAACAACAACGGTGGCATCTTATTCAAAAATATCCTCTAACCTCTCCCTCTGCTTCAGTCATGCTTGGCTAGATCGGATGGTCCCGCAGTACACGCAGTGGTGGCGCTCGACTGCTGGATCCAACGCCAACAACGACGACTATCGCGCAGTTCTACAACAACTCGCAGACGCTACAGGCAGCCAGCAAGTCGTCTAAATCTTGGAGCCCGACGCGATCGGTCTTCGGTCTTCTTGCTGATGGAGGCTGTGGCGATGCCATAGGTTACGCCGATAACCTCAGGGTGGCAATGGACATCCTCTCGCAGAACCTGAAATCTACCTGGATATGGGGTGCTGGACGCTCTCCGACGATGACCAGGCGGCCGCTGTCGCGAAGATTGTCAACGCCGTGGACCCGAGCTACAAGTGCAAGGGCATCTCGCTCAACACGTCAAACTATCGCTCCAACGCGGAAATGGCGGCTACGTGCGAGCGGTTCGTCAAAGCCAGCGGCCGCGAGTACAAGTGCATTGTGGGCACGTCAGGCAACTTCGTGAGTCCATCTACCACTGAGCGAGACCTCGCACGAGCGAGCGCCGTGTCCGGGGTAAGGAGGCGCCAACCACCACGAATGCGCTGCCTGCCCGAAAGGCTCGGCCATGTCTTCCTCACTACTTTGGTGAAGAAATGGCCGATTATTTTCTCGAGGGACTGCGGACTGCTGGCTGCTAACTGCTGGCTGCTAACTGCTGGCTGCCCCCACCCGACGGACGGACGGACGGACGGACGCCATCCAATCGCACTCGCCGTGTTGTGGAAATAATCGCATTCGACAGGGGAAAGCTTGGGCTCGCTTTCGCAGAAAATGGCTCGGAACCCCGTTGAATCTGCTGCCCAAGGGCCTCTCGAGCAGCCAAAGTCTCGCAGGTTTATCGAGTTTTCAGCCAAGTTTTGCTGAGACCGGGTTGGTTCTCGGGGACAGGAGCTCGCGACAGAGCCCGGTACACCAATTAAACCATATGATTGTGAGCGGCGTATCTGAGCACCTCGACCGAGGCCTCGGGGCCTACCGAAACATGCGTTCTCTGGCTGACTCTCAGCAGGGTTTCACCGCCACTCAGGAAGTAGTCGACACGCGACGCAAGTATAAGGAACTGAAGCGCACCTGGAAATTCACGTGCGACTACTGGTTCTTGGAGGCCCAAGAGGCCCTGGGCAAGGTGGATGATGCTGAATCCAAGTACAAAGTCGCGCTGGGCGAGCAAAAGACGCGGTACCAAGACGATATTGATTCTCTGGAGTCCGAGAAGGCACAACTCAAGGCGCGCCTTGCCGACTCTGAGGCACAAGTGCGAATCCTGAAATCGCGTCTTGAGTTAGCCACCGTGGACCCCTGGAAGTTCCCTGACTTCCTCCAGGAGCACACAGACTTCACGGGCAATTGGGAGCGTCTCCACGACCTCTTCAATCTCTGCATCAAGGACTCGAAGCCTCCTGAATCCTGGGACACTGTCATCAACGTCACGGCCATGGACAAGCGCAAGGCTGCGGCGGCCCCGTATCCAGAGAAGAGCACGCGTATGCCTCCGTCTTCAGGGTCTGGGTCGTCCGTCGTCCTGAAATTCTGGATCTCACGGGTCCTGGCAGCAAGTCTCGCAGCGGCGCGAAGGCCGGAGGCAAAACTTAGGATTCCAGAAAATCTCAGGGTTCCAAGAACGGTCAAGGCTCCAGAAAATCACGGGACTCTGAGGTGCCAAAAACGCAGTCGAACTCCGCAAGCCCCCAGGTTCACAAGGTCCAGCGTCGTCCCAAGGATCATCAGCCTGGCCGCGACTCTGTGCGTCGCGCCGGCGAGAAGACTGTGGTGTCCAAGGAGGCCGCACACACGATGCTCCCTGGGGGTGTCGTCTGGAAGGAAGTTCGGCCAGACGTGCGTCAGGCTATTCTTGCTGGGCTCAAGTACGACACAGCCATGGAGTGGATCGGCAGCGACCGGGCGGCCCACAGGCATTTCCGACAGCCGCAGCTGATCAAGATGCTCGTGAGTATGATGTACTGGCGTCGTCTCGATCGGACTCCCTGGCGCAAATACGTCCCTGAGGCTTACTACGAAACGGCGGACGAGCGTCTGGACAGGTGCGGTGATGTGCCACCACCCTGGGGGAACCTCGATGACCCACATGGTGTACCCTGATGAGGACGCCGATTCCACGGTGGACGACATCGAGAACGACCCGGACTATCAGCCTCCCGCCCAGGAACCTGAGGAGAGCGCCTCTAGTAGTAGCTCTGAAGAGGAGGAGGAGGTTCCCCTGAAACTCTGGAGGACGTCGAGGCCGCAGAGGGCGACGACGACGCAGAGGACGACGACAACGCAGAGGACGACAATGGGGTAGAAGAACCCCTGGAAGTCAAGCCTCCTGCTAAGCGCCCCCGTTCTGAGTCAAGCAAGGAACCTCAGGGTTCCAACTCGAAGTCGAAGAAGAAGCGTCGCACGGGAAACAAGAAAGACACGTCTGCCACTCAGGGTTCTAGTGGTACTCAGGGGTCCAAGGCTACATCACGCTCCAAGCATCCGTCGGCACTCGCGCGGAAATCATACTCGGAGCTCACTTCAAGTGAGTTGATGACGGCCGAAGACCCTGAGGACAACGAGACTTCCTGGCGCATCTATGGGGTTCTTGTGCAATACCCAAGCTCGACCAAGAGTGCGTCTTGCCAGACTCCTGGGTTCCCAGAGTACGAGATCCACAAGTATTCGTACGACGTTGTTCACGAGCGCTGGGATCGTGAGGCATACCAAGAAGTCCTGGATTCTGAACCCTGGGAGACTATGCTTCAGGGTCGCTTCCGAGTGTTCTATTTCCATGAGCGAGAGCTGCTCTCCGCGAAAGCGCTCAAGCTGTTGGAGGTCGTCGTGGACGCCATGCACAAGCACGCACAGGCAATCTGGGAGCGCGGGCACTGGGTGCCTATTCCGACTGAAGAACAAGCAGACGCCACCATGGACTCTCAGCGTAAGTCGCGTCGAAACGCGCTACGCAGAGCGTACAAGGCGCTCGTTGAGCGCTCGCACAACACCCCAGGGTTCATCCCGTCGTTGTGGCACGAACCGAGTCTCTGGAAGTTCCCGGACAAGTGCTGCTACTGGATTTGGGGGGATCCCAGGGCCAAGAAACTCGGGGGAGCTAAGTGCAAGGACTTGGACGTCCAGCTAGCGACGTTGGACATTCGTGAGCCCTCTCGAGTCCAATGGAACACGGCGGCTGACGACGATGAGTGGCTCCAATACGTGCCTAACAACATCAAGCGCCACATCAAGCCCCTGGCCATCCGCAAGCTCAACCCACTGTCTCTCAAGCACTCGTGAGAATCCAGGTCCTCACCAGATCCTGGGAACCATCGGGATTTCACATGTCGTAGCATAATTTCCAATAACATATCCAGGATTTCATCTCGATTTCAGAGTCTTCCCCAGAGATTCACCGTCTGTTGACATCGTTCCCCTGGGTCACCCAACTTCGTCTACTGCCTCCAGGTCCTCGTAAAGCTCGCCGCCTTGACCTTCTGTCTCACCACTTCACACAATGCCGAAGCCTCAGCAATATCACCTTCTCCATAATCAAATCAATTCAAATCACATTCACGTTCTCCATCCCCAATATTCACACATTCCGTCGATTTTCCCCAGAGTTTCACAGTGTCACCCAGGGTTTCCCCTGAGAATCACATGTAACTCTGGGTCATTGCCACCCCAGACTGCTAGACTCCTGGGTGATCATCTCCAGCCTGCATGGCCTGGAAACGGGCTCGCGCTCTTGCGCCTTGATTGAACTCGTAGAGCAGGGCGCCACAGTTGAGCTTCGACACAGGCAGCCACTCGGCCTCATCGTACCCCTTCCACTTTACAAGGTACTCGCGAATACGTCTCGCTGTCCGGGTCCGCTTAGTCCAGCGCAAATCCAGGATTCGCTCAACTTCGTACTCGTCGTTCGCAGTGTCGGGCTCCCAATTGTCTTCAGGCAGCAGCGCCGCATCAAAGTCATCATCCTCGTCCACGTCGATCTCCACAGTGGGTCGCTTCGGGAATAGTGCTCTGGGTTTCAAACAGCTCACGTGTACCCAGGGGTTCACGCGATACCCTGTGTTCTCGACCCTGAGTTTCACGCGGAAGTTGTCATGGATTTCCTGGATTCTGAAGGGACCATGCCACATGTGAGCCAGTTTGCGGCTCAGCCCAGGCTGCACCTTCGGTATATACAGCCACACAGCCACACAGCATCACCGACTGCGAATCCTGCCTTCAGTCGTTCGGACAGCTCTCACCACTTCCTGGTTTGTTCGGCAGAGCGCGCCCGCTTGGCCTTCTTCTGGAGATTCTCAGCGCAAGCTTGTGCATAACTGTAGTCACGCTGTAGCTTCCTGGGCCACTCGTACGCGGTGCGCTCCTGGATACTTGAAGGCCTGGGTCCCAGCATTGCAGACACAGTACCGTGTGCGTCCTAGCCGTGCGCCAGAAAAAAACGGAGTGTCCAGGCGAGTGGCATCGAACGATGTATTCAGGGCAAATATCAAGCGCTCAGCATGGTCGTCCCAGTCACTCTGGTCCGCTTCTGCAATGTACGCTCGAATGCTGCGCACGACGGTCTGCACCGACCGCTCTTGCTGTCCGTTCGCCTGGGGGCGGTACGCCAGAGTGGCCCGCTGCTTTCTACCCAGAAGTTCACGGAAGCGCGTGAACACCTCACTCATGAACCTTGGGTCTTGGTCGTGCCTCAGCATCGAGCTCGCGCCGAATCTCCTGAAGGCCTGCTCTTCGTACATTTCAGCGACGTCTTGGGCTGTGGTGGAACTCATGGGTTTGCACATGACGAATCCTGAGAACGCATCCTGAAAAAGCAACAGGCTTGAGCGTGCGACAGCTTCGTCGTGTCGCCCTTCAGGAAATCATTGAGTCGCAGCAGGTGATCAGCTTTGTCCTGGTGCACTTTGATGCGTCGCCAGCGTTCAGCCTGGTATTCCAAAGGTCCCATGGGTTCGCTTTGGGCTTCGGTCTCCTGAGTCTGTGCCCGAGTCATCACTGCGAACACTTTAGCCGCCGCAGGCAACGGAGCGCACTCAGGTCCAGGGATACCCAGAGTTTCGACACCCTGAGAATCACTCCCTTGAATTCCAACGTTCAATAACACCTTCGGTTTTACCAACTTCTCGTGAATCTTGGACACCAACTGCAGATGTGTTCGTTCTTCAGCATTCTCCACCTTCCAGAATTCACCAAGCGCGAGGGGCTTAGACGTCAGGTAGTCTGCAGCCTGGTTGAATTCTCGCTTGACATGCACCAGCCGCACAGACTTGAACTTCGTCTTCAGCACTTCATACTCGGCCAGCTTCCTCTGGAGATTTGGCTGATTGCAGTTGATGAGACCCTGGGCTTGCTGGATGGCAATCCTGGAGTCCCCAACCCCAACGATATCCTGAATTCCACGCTCGATCGCCTGAGTGAGGCCCTTCAGAAGTCCATGATACTCAGCGTCATTCACAGTCACGTTCTCCAGGATGAATCCCTGGGCATCCAGGATTTCCCAACCGGGGACATGCCACAGAATGCAGCCGCAGCTCCCTTGTCGCGTGGAGGTCTTAGCGGCGCCATCGAAACTCAGAATACACCCCTCATAATCCGCTTCCAGCATTTCCATACTGATAGGCACTGGAGGTTTGACGCGCCCCTTGGCTGGGATCAAGTTTTCAGCGATATCATCCAAGTGTTCTCTGGGGGTAATACCCGCACCCAGAATTGCAGCCAAGCCGTCTTTATCCCGTTGAACTATGCGTATCTCCAGGTTCCAGTGGGACAACTTCAGACCCCACTTCACCGTTCGACCGTCTGCCGACTGCAAAGTCAGCAACCACTTCAACACATGAAACTCTGGACGTCTTTCAGTGTCGTCGGGAACGGCAAGTCTTGGACCCCCTTCGCGACTTTAGGGGTCGCCCGGATACCCTCAGCAATAATCTTATGGGAGAGGTACGGAATGGACAACTTCCCGAATTCACTCTTGGGAAGACTCACAGAGATATTCCAGTAACGTAGTCGGAAGAGCAGCGCGTTCAGATCCTGGAACATCCGCTCCCAAGTAGGCGCACCATGGGCGATGTCGTCAATATACGAGCTTCGACCCAGGACAGGGCCCATCAGAGAGGGAGCCGGGATGTTACGCTGAAAAACAGTCATCTCGTCCTTCAACACTGAAAGTCGCGGTGCATTTTCACCTGAAACTCTGGGTTCCCCAGAGTTCAACCCCAAAAAGTCCAAGACGTCCTGGTCGACCTCAGCTTCTTCCTCAGGGGAAAGCCGCAGAAATCCCCACAGACAGTTATTGAGAACTGCCTGGTAGATCAACGGCGCGTCCTGACCCACTGGTAGTGCCCATAGGGACAGACGAACGCAGAGATCAACTTGGCTCTCTCGGTCATCTTGATAGCCCAGAAACCACTCGCCATATCCAAGCTCATAAACCACATCGCCGACTCAAAGCCAATCAAAAGATCGTCAATGAGCGGCAGCGGATAGTGCGAGAGCTTGATGAAGCCATTCACCACGCGATAGTCGATGCACATCCGGATGTCAACGCCATTCTTCTTGAGGACGATCACAATTGGAGATGCCCAGGGGGACGTCGATCAGCCCGTTCTCCAGAAGCTTCTTCAGAAGTTCTCACCTTGGTCCACAGGTGTGGCACAATGGACCTTGGACGCTGCGCAACAGGTTTAGCTTCGCCTACATCCAGGTCACAAACCACTCCACGTGCAGGTGGGGGAGCCCCATTGCCGTCTCCCAAGAAGATCTTCCGATGATACTCCAGAATTCGCCTCACTTGGTCTTCTATCTCGGGCGTCGTTTTCCCAGGGACTCCAACACCTGCCTCCTCGATCTTGGACTCAGGGGTCAAGTCATACATCTCAGGAAGCATAACCAACTGGTCGCGCAGCTGAGAGAGCAACTCACTTCCTTCGCGTATGTAGACCGCAGGCTCGTAGTCGAGGTCCTCTGTCGAGAGCCGCATGCAGCGCTCATATTCCTGCTTTAGTTTCTCCAACGGAGTCCCCGTGTAACGGGACAGGTGTGTGTCCGTTACTAGCTTACACGTAGCGGTGAGGAAGCTTAGTTAAGACTCGGATTTAATGAGACCAAGC